GAAAGACAAATACTTTGTGTTTTCTCTAATATTCGGAATTTAGATTTAAATGTGTGTGTGTGTGTGTGTGTGTGTGTGTGAGAGAGAGAGGGGGGGGGAGAGAGAGAGAGAGAGAGATTGAGATTCTAGGCCTAGGGACCAAAAGGCAAGATTCTCTGATAAGGGTAGGTCCTAGCTTCTATTTCCACAATTCATACTGGAGATACTGCTTTGATAAAAGAAGGAGTAAAGCCTGGCTCAAGAGCACAATTCCATGAGATGTCTGAAAGGAATGTGTTCTCAGAGTTCAGGTCCACTCTTGGCCTTAAAATGAATGCTTCATTCAGGCATAACTGCAATGTGGCTTAGAAATGCTGCATTGTGGCTGGGTGTGGCGGCACACACCTTTGATCCCAGCACTAGGGAGGCAGAGGCAAGCAGAGCTCTGTGAGTTTGAGGCCAGACTGGTCTACATAGCAAGTTCCAGACCAGCTGGGGGACCCTGTCTCAAAAAGAAAAAAAAAAAAAAAAGAATGCTGTATTGTGGCACCTCATGTGAGAAAGACATTTTCTACTCCAAGACCAGTGCCCAGAGAAGTCTCAAGGAAAAAGGGAATACAGGATGTCTCAGTCAAACATTGTAAGTCATGTGACATCGAGTACAAGGCTTTCCTTGCTAGCTTGCTCCAGAGCACTAACTCATGAATAGGTGCCCAGAGAAGTCCAGAGAAAAAAAGAGAATTATTGTATGTTCTCAGTCATACATAAGGGTAAGTGATAATGACAAGAACCATAAGGCTCTCTTGATAGCTTGCACTGGTGCACTTTAATAATTCTTTCTTCACCTTTTGCTTTTAGAAGGAATTATTCTCAAAACTTCCACTTTCATTTTCCCCTTTCTGCTGTTGCTTTGGGGATCTCTCTGTCTCCTGAATCTTGTGTACATGCATGTCAGTTAAAGAACTGACTTAAAGGAATTGGAGCAAATTTGTGAAACTTCAAATGTTATTCAGAAACATTTCTCCCTGGTATCCCAGCCATGGGATACTTCATTCAGAATTTTTGGGGAAAAAAACATGGAGACCTATTAAGCTACTGCTTAGAAGCAGTTTGGCTGAAATATTCAATTCATCATAACCAAATTTCAGTATATACACAGCCTTATCAAGAGAAAAAAGATGTACTGCCAAAGAAACTATGTCTTATAGAACCCCGTGGACCTTCCCCACCTAATTCTCCTGCCTTCCCTGGAGCTCTGCTCCCTGAGGCAAAGGTGATGGAAGAAACTAGCTTAGAAAATTAGTGTACCTGGATTGGCAGACTACACATGTTGGTAATGCTGGCTTTTTCTGCCCTGTATCTCCAAGCCTGTTTTTCTCTGCGATAGAATGTCCTTTCCTTCCTTGAAACTTCTTTGCTGTCTGCTTGTTTTGTTTCTGTTATCATGTTGCTTTTGAACTCATTTTTCAGTTAAAATGACATGAATGGATTAAAGAGAGTGAGCATTTCTTTTTAAAAATATTTTACTTATTATTTTTATTTTATGTGTATGAGTGTATTGCCTGTATGTATGTAAGTGCACCTGTGTCATGCAATGCCCATGGAGTCCTGAAGAGGGCATTGGATTCCCTGGAACTGGAATTATGGACAGTTGTTAGCTACCAAGTAGGTGCCAGGAATGGAACCCAAGTCCTCTGCAAGAGCAGTCAGTGCTCTTAACCACTGAACCATCTCTCCAGCCCCAAGAGTGAGCATTTCTAATAATCTTAAGCCTTTTAAAAAAAATTAATTTTTTTTTGTTTTGTTTTGTCTTTTTGAGACAGGGTCTCCCTTGTAGTCCTAGCTGTCCTGGAACTCACTATGTAGACCAGGCTGGCCTCGAACTCACAAAGATCTGCCTGCCTCTGCCTCTCAAATGCTGGGATTAAAGGCGTGAGCCACCACGCCCAGCCTAAAAAAAAATTTATTTACTATTTTTATTTTATGTGTATTCGTGTATTGCCTGCGTGTAGGTAAGTGCACCCATGTCGTGCAATGCCCAAGGAGGACAGAAGAGGCTGTTGGATCCCCTGGAACTGGAGTTAGGGTAGTTGTTAGCTGCCATGCAGGTGCTGGGATTTGAACCCAGGTCTTCTGCAAGAACAACCAGTGTTTTTAACCGCTAAGCCATCTCTTCAGTCCCAATCTTGAGCCTTTTTTTTCCAAGTTCTTTTACATGTTACTGTTTTTTGTTTTCTAAGTTCTCCAAATTATGAGTACTTAATTCAAGATTCCATGTGGTAAATTATAATGTATCTTTTTCTAATGCAGATAGCCAGACTGCTAACCTTTAAAAGAGCTATCATATTTGCCTACAAATTATTTTTATTTTTAATATTTTATTTATTATGTGTTGATATTTTTACTGCTTTGTTTTTGCTACTGCTGGAACACACAAGTCTGCTGGAGCTGTTTAAAAATACTTATTGGGGCCGGGTGTGGTGGCACATGCCTTTAATCCCAACATTTGCATTTGTGAGGCAGAGGCAGGTGGATCTCTTCAAGTCCAGTTTGGTCTACAAAGTGAGTTCCAGGTCAGCTGGGGCTACAGGAAGAGCCTGTCTCAAAAAGACAAAACAAAAATAAAAAAACCTTATTGGGGGGCTGGAGAGATGGCTCAGCAGTTAAGAGCACTGAGTGCTCTTGCAGAGGACCCAGGTTTGATTCCTAGTACCCACATGGCAGCTACAAACCGTCCTTAACTTCAGTTCCAGGGGAATCCGAAACCCTCTTCTGACCTCCACAGCATTGCATGACATGGGTGCATTCACATACGTGCAGACAATACACTCATACACATAAAATAAAAATAATAAATAAAATATTTTAAAAAATACTTATTGGAGGCTGGGATGATAGCTCAGTGGTTAACAGCACTGGCTGCTCTTCCAGGAGATCTGTATTAGATTCCTAGCGCCCACATGGTGGCTAACAACCATATGTAACTCCAGTCCCAGGGAATCCAATGCCCTCTTCTGACTTCCTCAGGCACTGTACAATATGGGTGCACTTGCACACATGCAGGCAATACACTCATACATAAAAATAATAAATAAAAGCTGGGTGTGGTGGTGTATGCCTTTAGTACCAGCACTTGGGAGGCAGAGGCAGGTAGATCTCTGTGAGTTCAAGGCCAGCCTGGTCTACATAGTGAGTTCCAGGCCAGCTGGGGCTACATGGAGACCCTTCGTCTTAAAAAAAAGACACTTGTTAACTGCTTTCTCTGTAATGGGGGTCCCAAAACAAATCAAAACAGTTATCCTGCTTATGTATCTAAAACTTTTATCTCTTTTTGCGAACTTCATGTCTCTCATGGCATTCCCTATATAAGCCTAAGGACAAGCCATAATTAAACTTACTCATTTATTATTAAAAAATTAAATACATAAACAAAAAAGGGGGATCAGGGATTAACTGCTGAGGAACAAATTATACTTCAAATCTTTTAAAAAGAGCTTATATTTTAAATTTAAAAAAATGTTTCTCCATTCTACACCATCCCCTAAGCATCTTAAGTAACTAGAAGTTTTACCAAAACCCATGGTTTTATATAAACTCTCTTAAGGGCCAACTAATATCTGGATCCTGTTCTTCTCAGTAACTGGAGCTGAGGCCCCCTATCTGTGCTTTCTCCTACAGGCCTCTCTGGATTGCAGTGTGACAGGTAAAGCCGTACCAGAAGGCAACAACCTGGTACCTGAAGAGAGACCCTCTCTTGAATTTCGACTGCATGAAGTGCTGTCCTGTTCTTGTGCCCTTTCCTCCCAGTGCTGCCCTGCCTGTACCACCTTTTCCAGAAACCTAAAATGGTGTCATGCTGCTACTTCAGTGCCATACCCCATCCAGCCCACCCCTAGTGACCACCCTGATGGGCATGCTTCTTCTTTCATCAAACAAGGGAACTGTGAGAATGACTTTTCTAGGAATGCTTTCCTTTACAATATGGATAGACGTCTTCACTTATAAAACAAAGAAGGAGCAACTTTAGGAATGACTTTTACAATATGGATATAGTCTGGACTAATAATGTTTACCTAACCTTGTAACCAAAAAGTTAAAATGTAAACAAGCTCACTGAGTCATCTGCTTCTCTTGTGACCTGGGCACCTGACCGTAATCCCTCAGGACCCCCACCTTGCCCTCTACCCAAGATAAAGAAAGAATGTGGATGTGCCTGACTCACACAGCAAAGCCCTGGAGGCAGCATATTTTTCTCTGTGTGTAATATTCTAGGCCTAGGGACCAAAGGGCAAAATTCTCTAAGGTTAGGGTAGATCCTAGCTTCTACTTCCCCATTCCATGCTGGAGACACTGTTTCAATAGAGAATGAGTGAAGCCTGGCTGGAGAGCAGTTCTGCAAGACATCTGAAGGAACAAGGTTCTCAGAGTTTGGGTTCATTCTTTGCCTTAAAATTAATGATAAGGGTCAGGCTGTTTCTTTTTTTTTTTTTTAGGTTATTTCTTTACTCAGGTATTACTGTAATATGGCTTAGAAATGCTGTACCATGGGAGGGCAGGAAGAATTCTCAAGGGAGGGGAGAGGGAGAGAAGAGAGCAATGGGATGTAAGTAACATGAAAGCAGAATAGGGGTTGTCCTAGTTTGTTTCTCCATTGCTGTGACAAAACACTCTGACCACTACCAACTTGGGGAGGAAGGGGTTTATTCAGCTTACAACTCCCAGGTTGAAGTTCATCAGGGAGCCCAAGGTAGGAACTCAGGGCAGGAACTTGGAAGCAGGAGCTGGAGCACAGGTCATGGAGGAACACTGCTTACTGGCTTGCTCCCCTGGCCCCTGCTCAGCCTGCTTTCTTATGCAACACAGGCCCACCTGCCCAGGGGTGGCACCACCCACAGTGGGCTGGGCCCTCCCACATCACTCATCAAGAAGATGCCCCACAGACATGGCCACAGGCCAGTCCAATAGAGGAAATTCCCCAACTGAAGCTCCCTCAACCCAGGTGTGTCAAGTTGACACTAAAGCTATCCAGCACAGAGGTCTATTTGGGAAAGAGGAGGGTTGAACGAAGAGGAGCAGCAGGAACAGGGAAGGGCAATGGCAGAAAGGGATGTACAAGAATGTATGTATAATGACATATGTGTGAAATGTCATAATGACAACTTTGCACAGTGGCAGGATCGTAGTCATGGAGGTTTATCTGAGGTATGATTTGATTATTGCTAAATGAAAAGAAAAAAATGCAATAATGAAACCATCGCTTTGTGTGCTAACATAAAAATTAATTTAAAACAAGCATTTTTGCAAATATAGAAATAAGCATTTTTATTTTAAAAAATTAAAAAAATATGAATCATCCACCTTCTTTGGAACCCTCAGAAACAATGTCTACCAGGCACTTCACAGTGCTTATTGAATAAATGAAAGATGAATGGGGGAGCCTTGGAGTGTGGAAAGAGAAAGGCTAGGATTCCCCAGGAAGCTGATCCTCATCCAGCCCTGCAGTCGATCTCATTCTCTCTTTGTACTCCCCCATCCTCATCAGTAAGAAAACTCCAGGGAAGAAGGGAAGGAAGAGCCACAGGACTCGCCAAAGAAGATGCTCATGCCCCCCCCCCCCATACAGCGGGGAGAGAAAGCTCTTCCCATGAGCATCATCCTAACAGTGTGTGTCCTTCAAAACCACTTGTGGGACCTCTCAGGTCTTCTGGAGGTGCCACACTCAAGGCAGGAATACAGAGGGCTGAGGTCATTACAGCTAGGACCCCCATCCCCAACACATAGCATTCTGGAATCACCTCAGGACCCCAGGACATAGTCCTGGGCTTGAGCTTGAACTCCAGTCTATCCCAGGAAGGCCACCAGATTGATTTCACCATACCTCTGTGTAGGGACAGTTGTGGCCTGCTGGAGGCAGCCAGAGTACCGAGGAGTGAGAGAGGCTGTGGCCCGGAGGGATTCTCTCTTTCCCACTCTCCATAAGTGAGCTCATCCCTCCAGCTGAGATCGCAGGTGCAAGGGATACTGTCTTCAGGGGGAGTAGCTTTCTCTAATCAAGAAAAGGAATGTGTTTGCACTCTGGTTCACAGAACCCTCTAGAAGCTAATCAACAGTTGGGGGAAGAGGGAGATATGATATGCCAGGCACTTCAGACAATTACACACATTCTTGGGCCTTTCATCCTTATGACAACTCTGTAAAGGCAACTCTGACAACCCCCATTTTGCAGATAAGAACTGTGAGGCTCAAGGAGGTTGATAAACTTACTAATGGTTACCTTAGGAGGAGGCAGAGTCAATCTTCAAAGATGAGCAGCCTGGCTCCAGAGCCTACATTCTTAACCACTATGTCCTGTGAGCAAGATAGCCCCATAAAAGGAGAGCAACATGCCAGGCTGGTGGCACACACCTTTAATCCCAGCACTCTGGAGGCAGAGGCAGGCAGATCTCTGTGAGATCCAGGCCAGCCTGGTTTACATCATGAGTACCAAGCCAGCTGAGGCTACCAGGAGACCCTGTCTCAATAAGAGCGAAAAAAAAAAAAAAAAAAAAAAAAGGAGAGCAACTGTATGGAGCCCTATGGAGCCCTAGGGTTGGACAGATTAACTACATACGTTTCCCCAGGAGATTCAGCCAGCTAAACTGGCAATGGCCTTGAACCCAGGAAATCAAAGTCAGAGCCTGTTCTTAGACCCGTTGCCCTTGGTACTCAAAAGGTGGCCTAAACTTTGGCATCATTTTGGAGCATGTTAGAAATGCATCACCTCAAGATGCCATGCCTACCTATTAGGCTAATAAATTAGAAGGGGAATTTTAATAAGACCAAGGGGTCAGCTTGTGTACCTGCTAATGGGGGTATACAAGTGAACTTTGAGCCTCTGGTTGTCTAAACTGAATCTCTCCCCCATCCCCTAATCTCCAGGCTTGCTTTGAGTTCACTCTGTAGCTGAGGCTGATTTTGAGCAGCTGATCCTCTGCCTCCCAAGGTCTGAAATTACGGGCACCAAGATCTCTCTTTCTCTCTCTCTGCATGTGAAGGCCAGAGGTCAGTCTAAGGTGTCATTTATCCCTTGTTTTTTGAGACAGGGTCTCTTACTGGCCTGGGGCTCATCAACCAGGCTAGGCTGGCCAGTGAGCCCCAGGGATCTACCTGTTTCCATCTTTCCAGTGCTGGGATTGCAAGTTCATATTGCCATGCCCAGATTAAAAAAAAAAAGATTTATTTTATTTTTAATTATGTGTCTGTGTATGGGTATGCAAGCAAACACGCAATCCCCCCACCTCCCACCGAAGCCAGAGACTTAGATCCCCTGGATCTGGAGTTGCAGGTGGTTGTGAACCATCCCACATGGGTACTAGGAATGGAACTTGGGTTAGGGTCTGTCTGTGGAATTAGAAATGAAATGAAGAATATGGAAACATCTCAAAAATACATGGGTAAGACTTGGGCCCCAATTGACTTCAATGGCTCAAAAGCCCAGAGCATAGAGATACTATAGTACCCCTGATGTTACCAGGAAGGTCGGAGGGGGAATTACAGGGGGTCTGAATCCTACACCCCACACAGTAGCTAGCTTGCCTGGGCATGCAGCCCTGCACTCTTCCCTACCTGAGCTGGACTTGTTGATCTCCATCTTTTTGCTTCTTCTGGAACTCCAGCCATTTCAGGGTCAAGGAAATGAAGATCAAAAGTTAAGGAACAGAACATTGAACTCAGTTTTATTGTTTGCCATTTTGTTTTGTTTTTTGAGACATGGACTCATGTATTTGATGCTGGCCTCAAATTCCATATGTAGCAGAGGATGACCTTGAACTCCCAATCCTCCTGGATGCTAGAATTACAGGCGTATGCCACCATGCCTGGTTTATGTGGTGGTGGTGGTGGGGGGACCAAACCCAGGTTGTGTGCAGGTTAAGCAAGAATGCTACTTACTAACCACATGTTCAACCCTGAACATCATTTCAAAACTTACTCACAGTTAGATTTTTCCTGATACAAAAGATTTAGAGGCAGTTATAAATATGGAAAAGGTCAGATGTGGCTATACTCAGTGAGTGTGACCCATATTAAGTTTCCATGAGAAAAGGGAAGGGGGAGGTATGAAAAGAGGAGGTAGGGAACAGAGACTATAATGCCCATAGATTTTGCCGAGGAGGGGGTTATAGTTCTATCTGTTGGATCTTGCATCTCAGCTATGCATACTCTTTACTGTTAAGTGGCATGTTGCTGCTAAACTGGTAATACCTGCAACCAGACTGGAACCTGTCTGAATGAGGAGACAGCTATCACCTGGGGCTGGCTTCTGTGAAACTGGGATCTAAATGCCTGTGTGAGACCCTGTCTCAAAAAGACCAAAAAAAAAAAAAAAAAAAAGGTGTGGGGGGGTCTTCCACTCCTTGCATCCTCCCTGCCTTGTTTTGTACATTCTAGCCCAGGCTAGGTTGCCATAGCTCCCCAGTGGAGCTGATCTCAGAGTCTCTCCTCTCTTCTACCTCCCTTTCAACCAACTGTCACAGCAAGAGTGACCTTTTCTAAATGTAAATTGGAGCACAGTCACCTCCATGTTTAAAATACTGCTAAGGTTCCCATTCCACTTAAAGTTTAAATTCTTCCATATGGCTTCTCAGGGCTGGCCTGGCTGGGCCTCTGCCCCCTTCTACATATTTTCTTCCCCAATGACTTTCCTGCCCTTTCCAAACTAAACTCCTCTGGACAAAGCCTCGGCCATTTGCTTCTTCAACCTGCCTGGCTCTTTCTCTCTCTCCTTTATTTGGCTAGCGCCTGTTTCTCCACCTTCCAGAATTAAAAGCTGTCTGTTCAGTCAGAGGTTACTGGTGGGCCCCTAGTAACCCTGCTTCCATTTTCCTTTGGGGACAGAGCAACTAATTTTGTGTTTTGTTTTTGTTTTTGAGACAGGTTCTCAACTTTATAGGCCAGGCTGGCCTCAAAGTGACAGCAATCCTCCTGCCCTAGCCTCCTGAGTGTTAGGATAATGATCATGCATCACCAAGCCCAGCTGTGATTTAGTAATTTGAAAGTCAAAAAATTACTTCAAAATACCTTGCTGTATTAGAACTTGACACTCTCTAGCTCCAGAATATGACTTCTTACATAGCAATTTCTTAATTACAGATTCCCATATGTTATATAGAGTGACAATCTTCAGTGTATATTCCTTTGTACCATGAAACTATTAAGTCTTTCCCAAGACCAAGTTTGTAATACACTTAATATTTATTGGCCTTATTCATATCTGCTTCTCAAAGCTAAGTACTTGAACTCATTTAATCCTGACAGTATCTGGGCGAGGCTGGCACTGTACTCGTTTCCATATTATAGAGCTGAAAACTGATGCCAAGAAGAAGGCTAAGAACATGAAGCAGTGACTGAGGCCCTAGTTGTGAGCTCCCCTCCCCTGAGCGCCTTCTTTTTAGCTTACTGCTCCAGGACTCAGAAAGACAGGCTGTGGGCTTTACCTCTGAGCTGCTAGTCTAACTGCTTTCTGTTGTTACAAAAATCTCTCCCCCTGGGCTGAGATGCAGCTAAGTGGTAGAACCCTTGACTAGGAAACCTGAGGTCCTAGGTTCAATCCCCAGTAAAGGGGAAGAAAGAAAATTGTCTTCTATAGCCAGGAATGGTGGTATAGGTCTATAATCCCAGTATTTGGGAGGTAGAGGCAGGAGGACCAGGAATTCAAGATTATCCTTGATTACATAGGGAATTAATTTGAGGGCAGCCTAGGTTACATGAGAGCCTATCTCAAAACAAATCTCTCTGTCATTTCAATTTTCTCTCCTGGTGAAATTTGCTGAACCCATTTTGGTTTCCTTCTCCGTTTAAGCCACAATGACATGCACCAGGACCTTGGGCCCTACTTCATCTTTGTTTTGTGGTCATGATACCTTCTAGTCTAAGAAGTCTTACCTCCTGCTATACAAAGAATTATGGGAATAAAGGGGAAGAAGGAGCTCAAGAGAGGTGGGACCATAGCATACAGAAACTATCAAAGGAGAAATGGGGAAAATGGGGACACTTTAGATAGGGAGGATGGAGAGGGTGGGGAGGAAGGATAAGACAGGGAGAGAAAGAGGAGAGGTAAATAGTACCTAGCTAGTATGAAAAAACAGAGGGAATTGTATTATTCCAAAAACCTACTGAAAAATTACACAGACAATATCCCCACATGAGTCCATGAGTATAGCTGAAGCTACATAACAAGAAACAGTGCCAGACAGGAGAAACTTTCCTTCAAGTTGTTGGCCAGGGTAGTTCAAGAGACTCCCAAGATTATGAAGACTATTGCCACCCAGTCCTTGATTGCCTCCCAGAACTTGAAGGTAAGACCCTATTGCTGAAGACAGGACATACTTTGGACACAGAATTTGGAGCAATGGAGCTGGGACTGACCTGGAAGCCACCTTCCCTGAAGGCTAGCTCTCATAGCTTTGGAGAGCACTATACATGTTGGTAAGGGAGCACATCAATCGATGGTCCAACCCCAGCTTCAAGGCCTAAAAACCACACCACTGACCAGCACAGCAAACAACACTGGTGCAGTAGTGGCACTTTTATCTTGAAGGTAATCAACAGCTAACTGAGTGGACTTAAAGCCCACTCAATGGGAGGAAACTCATGTGTGGTATTGCAAACCTAGCCAAATACACATAGCTAGAGAGGTCATAGATCTTAGAGAAAACCCCAAGGTTCTCATATCCCTAGACAAATGTAATTTCTTACTATCTGCAAAATATGGATCCTTAAATTTATATACACGTGTCCCAGTTACCACCCATCAAAGTCGTTTCTTTTTCAACAGAGATTATTACAGAGTTATACCACTGGTCACACAGAGATTCTCTGTGAATTGCCCAAGCCTAAGTGTCACCTCTAGGATGCAACCTCTACACACAAGACTCATGGAACATAGAACAAGGGATGAAGAGAACACTAATGCATCTTTCAATTCCCATCAATGATGCGCCCTCATGCAACAGAGGGCCAGGAACACAAAAGGTCACAAATGGCCAAAACAGAGAGACTAAGAGTCTACAGCATGTGGGTCCTTGGACAGGACTCCTATATTGAGGTCTACCCACCCAGGGCTCAGGGACCATTGCAGAAGAGGGGGCAGAAAGATTGTAAGAGCCAGGAAGCATGACCATGCGGAAAAAGTTCTACAGGTACCTGGGACCCTTCTCATACAAGCCTACGACAATGGTGTCAGGATGCACAAGACCTATGCAAACTTAGGCAGACAAAACCCAACACAGAACTGTGGAAATGAACAGCAAGCCTCAATCTTGTTGAAGAATTATTGGCAGCTGATTAGGGCTGGGTGAGGAAGAGCTGATCTTCTTCAAGGAAGGGACTCTAGATAGGCTTACTAAATCCCAGTGGATGAACTTGCATTGAGGGACATCTGGGGACACTAACTTTATATGATAGGCCTTAACACAAATGACAGAGCATATGAACTCCAGTGAGGGGTGGGGGAAACTATAGGAGGGTGACAAAGGGGAAAAGGATATGAAGATGATTTTATATATGAAGTACACAAAAATTCAATAAAAAATTAAAAAATAATAAATGTAATCAATGAAACAAACAAAAAAGAAATCTTCCCTCCTATCTCTCTTTTTTGTACAGTTCCTCCTCTGGAGTCAAGCCTACCCTGTTTCCTGTGTGGAGATAAGAGATGATGGCAAAGGGGGCAGGTAAGGTTGCTCAGAGACTAGGCACTATGTACGATAGTATGTCATATCCCTCCTGTGATCTTCAACCATACGTCTCATATTGGGACCTTCTGGGCTACAGGCAGGGATGGTAGGGGCTAGGCCAATTTAAGTCGTATACCTGAACTGGTTCTGCTGATGCAAGTCGGCAAAAATCTGTGAGAGGGCCTCACTCTCCCCCTTGACCACCAGCTGCATGAGGCTCTCACTGGGCTGGGGGCCTTGAGGTTTCTTCAGCACTAACTATAAGGAGAAAGAACAAACAATAAACAAAATAAATAATTAAGACTGAGGGTCACTGCATTTTCCTAATATTAAGGTCCAGCCTCTGAAGTATTGGGGCCCACATTCTCCATTAAGCAGCTGTGTTGGATAGCTTCAGTTGTCGACTTGACATACCTGGGTAGAGGGAACCTCAGTTGAGGAATTTTCTCCATTGGATTGGCCTGTGGCTATGTCTGTGGGGTATATTCCTGATTGTTGAGTGATGTGGGAGGGCCCGGCCCACTGTGAACAGTGCTACCTCTGGATAGGTGATGCTGTGTTGTATAAGAAAGCAGGCTGAGCACAGGCTAGAGGAGCAAGCCAGCAAGTAGTGTTCCTTTATGGTCTCTGCTTCAGGTTCCTGACCTGAGTTCCTGCCTTGGCTTCCCTCAGTGACAAACCATGACCTGGGAGATGTAAGATAAAATAAACACTTTCCCCAAGTTGGTTTTGGTCAGTGTTTTTTTTTTGTTGTTGTTGTTTGTTTGTTGTTGTTTTTGGTCTTTTTGAGACAGGGTCTCCCTGTAGCCCCAGCTGGCCTGAAACTCACTATGTAGACCAGGCTGGCTTTGAACTCACAGAGATCTGCCTGCCTCTGCCTCGAGAGTGCTGGGATTAAAGGTGTGAGCCACCAAGCCCGGCTTGGTCAGTGTTTTTATCACAGCAGTAGAAAGCAACTAGGACAGCAGCCATACCAGTTGCTCATGGAAGCAATTATTTTTGTTGATAGCCTTGTATGTGGTATAAATATCTTGGTGCTTTAAGGATAAGATCTTTACTGTGTACTTGTTAGCATAAATTTAGTAAGTAATCTAGTCCCATTAATATACTTTAATATGGTTTACTGCTTAACTTGTTAACACAAATTTTAATAGCTAGTGCTACTTGTTTTAATACTTAAATGTAAGGACATTCTTTAGTATGAGAACTTAATGAACAGTTCAGAAATTGATTCATCCAAGAATAATGCTATATGCAGCAGTTTTGTGTATGTGTGTATGTGTATGGATGTACATGCATGTGTGTAGTGTATATCTGTAACTGTAGGTACATATACACATGTGAGTACATGTGTGGAGGCCAGAGGACAATGTTAAGTATCTTCCTCTATTACTTTCCACCTTAGTTTTTGAGACAGGGTCTCTCACTGATCCTTATGTTCACTGACTGAGCTAGGCTGGGTGGCCAGCAGCTCCAGGGAGCCTCCTGTCTTTGCTTCCCCAGTGCTAGGATCAGGCCTCCAGGCCTGGCTTTTTATGTGGGTGCTGAGGATTGAACTCGGGTCCTCATGTTTGTACAGTAAGCACTTTACTAATTCAGTCACCTCCTTGGCCCTGCAGCTGTTTTTATACTTGGGTAAAATTGATTTACTTTTTGTTGCTTAGATATCCTAAAGCTGCTCCAGTTGTACATGCTGCCCATATCCATCCATCCACCCCTCCATCCATCCACCCATCCATCCATCCATTTGCTATGTATTTGTTAGGTATCGAGACAGGTATTAGGTTTGGAGATCACTGAGGATAGTTCCTCTCATCATAATCCACTTTGGATCCCACTTCCCATTTCCCTAGTATCAACAAAAAGGGAAACATCACAATTGTCCTTCAAGATTTAAAATACCCTATGAAAAAGTGTAGGTTTCAGGGCTTTGTTGAGGCCCATTAAAGGAAAGCTACTTCCAACCTGGCCAAAAGCAGTCTGAGTTCCACCTCTGGTCCTGGGTAGAGGAGACATGACATTCTGATCTGGCCCAAAGATCACTTTACACACTATTGTCCCTTTTTAAGACTTGATCCAATTGGGCCTGTCAATTTCCTGGCCAGGAGACCACCTCTCAAAAAGTCTGATTCGGGCTGGAGAGATGGCTCAGCAGTTAAGAACACTGACAGTTCTTGCAGAAGACCCGGGTTCAGTTAAGAACACTGACTGTTCTTGCAGAAGACCTGGGTTCAAATCCCAACACCCACATGGCAGCTAACAACTGTCTGTAACTCCAGT